TACCTCCGTCCCTGGGCGCAATCATGATCCACACAAATTGTGTTGACCATATTTTGTATACTATAAAATAATATACATTTAGTACACAAATAATATATTTTTAGTATATTAAAAATGTATATTGTTTTCAGAAAAAGTACATTATTTGAATACTAAATGTACATTATTATATATAATGTACATTCAGTACACAAATAATGTACTTTCAGTATATTAAAAATATACTTTCTTTTATGATCCATACATCACTATGTGGACCATGGTCCATACAATAATTTGCCGTGGTGGTAGTGGCGGGTCTGTGGATTCCTCTGCTGCCTCCATTTTCTTATTACCTCCACCATCACCGTCGCTGGCCTCCGACGGGAAAGCCGTACCCCAAGGTTTTTTTTTTAAAAAAAAAGTTAATGTAATTAATTTATTTGAATTAAAGATACTTTTAAATTAAAAAAATTACAAGTTACTTAGAAGTAACTTGTTAATTAACTTAATTGCACAAAAATGAAAAATTAATGTGTTTAATTGGAGCTTCTTTTTTTTTTTTTTTTTTTTTTTTTTTGTTTTTTTTGTTTAGGGGCTAATTACAATTTAGCCTATAGTTGAAAAGCCTATTTATTTATTTACTTATTTTTTTTTTGAAAGGAAAAAAGCCTATTTAATTTGACCCTTATCTTTTTTTTCTTTTTTTTTTGAAATTACACAAACACTTCATTATCTGGCAAGATCTAAGTTCAGAACACACGGAATTCAAGACAAAAGGTTTTGGAGCCACTCCACATGCATGATCAAACATAATGACCAATTCCCTAGTTAAGACGTACATGAGCGTAACTCGATTCGTTTGCAGCAAATTAGATGTCATCTACGACATTATAACCAACAAGGTTAAATGTAGACTTCTGCTCCAAGAAGACAAAGTGTGCATTAGGAGATGCAAGAGGGAAGCACATCAACTCCTTTAGGATATTCATCCCCATCAAGGCATATGTTATACTGCATGCAGGGTGAATAACAACTCTCTTCAATGCAGGGCATTTGGAGAACAGGAGAAGACTGACTTCACTAAAAGAACTTCTAGCCTAGCTCCATATATATATATATATATATATATATATATATATATATATATATATATATATATATATAGAGGAGTGATCACATGTGGCCATGTTATTAGGTGTGGTCATATGTTCAATTATAGGCCATTAGATTAGATAGATCCAATGAATCATATTAATCAAGATTTTTTTAGTATTTTCGCGCACATTCTCCTACCCAGCGAACTACAAGGGTAAACTCGTCATAAAACACCGAAATATTAATCAAGATTTGGTTGTGTGTTTTATTACACTATTGGTGCATGTTGTCAACACTGTTGGTGTATTCTGGATCCCGGGCACTATAAATGGCCATTGTAATTACCATAACACGGGAATACACCATTGGTGTGCTTCACTGTGGTGTGTTTTTATTACACTATTTGTGTATGTTGTCAACACTGTTGCTGTATTCTGGAACCCGCCCGCTATAAATGACCACTGTAATTACCATAACACCCCCACTTACCAAAACGCGCGAAAATCCTCAGAATTATCACTGCCGTTAGATTAAACTGATTCAACGACACAGATACGACCACACGACCACACCTAATGACATGACCACATATGAGCGCTATTATATATATATATATATATATATATATATATTTTTTTTTTTTGAATGCATATATATATATATATATATATATATATATATATATATATATATATATATATATATATATAGAATAAGGCTCATATGCGGCAGTGGCTTTAGGTGCGGCGGTGCGGTCATATCAGCGTCGTCCATTTTGCTTAATCTAACGGCAGCAGCTAATTTCCGAAGATTTAAAGATTTAAGCGCGTCCTGGTAAGTGGGGGTGTTATGGTAATTGTAGTGGTTATTTATATTGGTCGCTTGTCAGTATACACCAACAGTGTTAACAAAAGACACCAATAGTGTTAGAAAAAAGCACCACAATGAAATGCAAAAATACACCAAAAAGCACACAACACACCCAAAAAATACACCATATAACTCACCACCCAATGGTGTATTCTGAACACTGTGTGATGGTTTTAGTCATACCTAGTGGTGCGTTTTGGTGATGCGTATCTAATTTGTGCATGTTTTTTTGGTGTGCATTTTATAACATAGATGGTGTATATTCGTATAACTATTAGTGTGGTCGTACTGACCGCTCGGGAAGGCACCAACATGAATTCTCAAATACACCACAGTAAGGTTAATAATGCACCAATAATGAACATAAAACACACAACACTATGATTTGATATATTCTGGTGCCCAATGACGACTTTAACCTTGCAGTTCGCGTACTGTGAGAACGCGCACGGAAATATCGGAAAAGCCTGGATGAATGTGATTCTTTTGGATTTATCTAATCTAATGGCCTACAATTAACCGCACTGCCGCACCTAAGTGCACTGCCGCACTTGAACCTTCCTCTATATATATATATATATATATATATATATATATATATATATATATATATATATATATATATATATATATATATATATATATATATATATTAAATATATATATATATATATATATATTAAATATATATATATATATATATTAAATATATATAATATATATATATATTATACATAATATATAATATATATATGTATTTATATATAATATATAAATAGGAAGAGAGAGAGAGGGATGAATAATGTTATTTGATGGGATGATTAACAAATGAACAAAAACCACATATTTATACTAAAGGAAAGCTAATAATGAGGAAGCTAATGCTCTATGTACTAGTGCATGCTATAATCTAGGCCAATCTTCACATACAATGCATGACCCACACCCATTACTTTCATTATTTCTAACAAATTAACTAATTACTAATTACTTGCTTGGTTTAATAATTATAATAATATTATTATTATAACATTGCCTCCTTTAAACCAAGTTGGATATATTGGTCATTCCAATTTCCTTCTTCAATTTGAGAAATGTCTCTGTCTTCAGCGGCTTCGTAAAGATATCTGCAACTTGACATTCACTTGAACAATACTCAATGTTGATTTGTTTTTCAACAACCAACTCTCTGATTTTGTGATACTTGATATCAATGTGTTTGCTGCGACCTTGAAAGACTGGATTTTTGGACAACGAAATTGCTGACTTGTTGTCACAAAAAATAGTTGTAGGTGCTTCCTGCTCATGTTGTAGGAACTCCAAAATTCTCCTCAGCCAAACTGCTTGAGTAGCACAGTTTGTTGCTGCAATATATTCTGCTTTTGCGGTTGAAAGTGCTACAATCTGCTGCTTCTTTGAAGACCAAGAAAATATGGCTGAACCAAGATAGAAGGCATATCCTGATGTGCTTTTTCTGGTCTCAACATCTCCAGCCCAATCACTGTCTGTATACCCAACAAGCTTCACAGCTTCATTTGTAGAGTAAAAAATTCCATCATTACTCGTACCTTTGACATATCTCAGAATTCGCTTTGCTGTAGCCCAATGTGATTCTTTTGGTTCCTCCATGAATCTGCTAAGTATCCCAACTCCAAAAGAAATATCTAGCCTTGTTGCCACCAGATACCTCAGACTTCCAATTAAACTTTTATAAGCTGTAACATTCACATTCTTACCACACTCATCTTTAGATACCTTTAACTTTTCAGCTAACGGAGTCGAAATTGGTTTGGAGTTTTCCATTTTGAACTTTTTCAAAATATCAGCAGCATACTTCTTCTGTGAAATAAAGATTCCACCATCCATCTGAATAACCTCAAGGTCAAGAAAGTAAGCCATAAGGCCCATATCAGTCATTTCAAACTTCTTAATGAGTGCCTCCCTGAATTCTGAGATTAGCTTCAAGTTGTTTCCAGTAAAAACCAGATCATCAACATACAGACAAATTATCACAATATCACCTGAATCCGTGCATTTGACATACAAAGTGTGCTCATGAGGACATCTCATAAAACCACTTTCAACAAAATATGAGTCAATGCAACCATACCACGCCCTAGGCGCTTGCTTTAAGCCATACAAGGCTTTTCTCAACATGTACACTTTATTTTCCTCCCCTTTCTTCAGAAATCCTGCAGGTTGCTCAACATATATTTCTTCTTCAAGAAAACCATTCAAAAAAGCAGACTTAACATCCATTTGATGCAATTTTCAATCATTTTGAGCAGCAAGAGAAATAACCATTCGAACTGTATCAAGTCTACTTACAGGAGCAAAAACCTCAAAATAATCAATACCTGGTTTCTGCTTGTAACCCTTTGCTACTAACCGTGCCTTAAAACGGTCAATTTCTCCATTTGACTTGTACTTCGTTCTGTAAACCCACTTCACTCCAATTGGCTTCTTTCCAGGAGGTAAATCTGTTAACTCCCAAGTACCATTCTTTTCAATGGCACGTATCTCCTCATCCATCGCCTTAAGCCAATGAGTTTCTGTAGCAGCCTCCTCAAAAGATAAAGGATCACAATCTGCAAAGAGAGCAAATTGAACAATCTCTTCATCAGACAGGTCATTATCATGACCCAAAACATAATCCTGCAAGCGAGCTGGTAAGTGGCACTCGCGCTGAGATCGTCGAACTGACGGCTGTGGCTGTGTAGGAGACTAGACATTATCTGGAATCGCTTGCTCTTCAACAATATTTTCAACAACAGGAATAACAACTGAACTTTCATCTTTAGCTAACCAATCCCAGGCACCATATTCATTAAAAGTGACATCATGACTTATAACAACCTTTTTAGTTTCAGGATTGTATAGTTTATAAGCCTTTGAAGCGTCACTATAACCAATGAATATGCACTTCTCAACTTTATCATCCAACTTCTTTCTCAATGGATCTGGCACATGTGCATATGCCAAACACCCAAAAACCTTGAGATTTCTTATAGAGGGTTTCTTCCCACTCCAAGCTTCCTCAGGTGTCTAATCACGAACACTCTTAGTTAGACACCTATTCAACACATAGACAACATAAACAATAGCTTCTGTGACACCCCATAATCCAAATTCAATTATGGGATTAATTAAGTAATTAATCCTAAACCAATTGGTAATTTAATTCCTTAAATTCCTGAAAATTCAATAGTCAGGGACTAGTAATTGACTAGTCAACCCCAAAGTCAAGGTTGTACCTTAAGCTTTGTGAGGAGTTCCCTTGTTCCCTTACACCTCTTCATTTTAGTAAGGGTTTTCATGACATTTCACCTTGTGTTAGTAATGCACGCAAACCTAGTAGACACTCCTCATTCTTGCTCCTTACACTTCCCGAATTTGAGCTCTACCTTCTCTCTAAAAGTTAGATAGCTTTTCTTCCAAGCCAAGTTCGAGCTTTGTCAAATCTTCAAGTGTTGTCTCCAAGATTCTACCTTTCATACATTTGAGCATCTAGGAGGGTAAGATCTATGTTCATCTTGTGTTTTAAGTGTTTTCTAAGGTGTCTTTTCTTAAAGATAGAATCTTTATGATCTTTTGGTGTGTTCTTGAAGTGGGTTTGGAAGGTGAGCCTTATTAGGAGCTTGGTGAAGTGTTAAGTGAAGGTTTTTGTCTACAAGAGGTAACCCATGCTCTACAAAACCTATTTTGCTTACCTATGTGATGATTTCTTGGATTCTACATGTGTTTTGCTATGAAATGTGAGTGTTTATGCATTGTCTTGTGAAAATGCATATCTAGAGCTTGTGTTTAGGGTTCTTGTATGCCATTGCTTGGCTATTCCTTTGGTTCAAGTCATTTTGTTGTATTTGGTGAGATTTGGCATGTTTTGGATTTGAATTTGAGCTTGGTGTTGAAAATCCCCAAAGGGATTATTTTGGGCGCAGGTACGTACCCGCGGGCGGAACGGCGGGCAGTGGCCAACCCGCCGCCCATCCACGGGGAACATAAGGCCGGTGGGTGTGTACCCGCGGGCGAAACCACGGGTGGGGGGTCTACCCGTGTACGCGAGGAACATACTGGTGTTGTTGATGGATTTGTTCCCCGTGATTCTTTTGACTCGGTATTTGGTCTTTTGACTTCCCGATGTTCTTTTGTGGAACTATTTGAGCGTCTTCTTGATGTTTCGTATGTCTAGAACTATATGGTAGGAACCTATGTAGGTTTTGGTGTCTTGAATCGTGCTAAGTGTTCAACATTGTGATTCGTTGAACCGTGATGAGTCTTGTGTGTTCTTCGGAACTACGTTTGGTTTACCCGTTTGATAAGAATGCTAGTTCGGTGTTTAAATGCTAGCATGTGTGTGTTGTTTGTCCTTCCCTATTTGTTGATGATGACTTGTGTTATTCATCGTTGTTGTTGGACTGTGACCCATTCCTTGATTGAGTATGGTTTCATATCTTCGTTGTGATCCGTTAATTGATTCCTGTTGAGGTGTGGTGTGGGTCGCTGTACCTGGATTGCACGATTAGTGGTATGGGACACTAGTCACCAAGGTACGGCAGTGGTCCTCGTGGTGGCCATGATGTGATTATGGAGTTTGTGACCTATGTGTCGGGTTCACGTATTTCTTGGGAGGCATGTGTTGCCAAGGCATGTGTTGCCATGTGTGTGATCGGTACCCTCGTGTACTATGAATTGGTGGTTTTGTTGGCGGTTTGTCGGCGGATGGGGACGACGGTCCTCAGAGGGAAAAGGTTGGACTTGGTGTACAAGGGTCCTGGAGGTAAAGGTTGGAACTAGCTATAAGGTTGGGGGTAGCCATAAGGTTGGAACCGGGCATAAGGAAAACATATCAATTCGTGATGGGTGATGTCACGAAGGCTTGTGTAGCCGTTGTTGTGAGTATCTCTTCTTGTGACGTGTGTAGTCACAAAGGCATTTGTTGCCTGGGCAAGTGGTGCCATTAGTTGTGTCTTATTCTCTTGTGTTATGCATGTCGGGTGTTAATCTACTGTGTGATGGTAGATTATACCTTGAGTCGTTCTTGTGAGTCGTTGTATCTCGTGTGGTCTTGGGATGTGTTCCCTTACCTTGTTGTGAGTGCTTTGAGTCTTGTGTTGACTTCTGCTCTCGGCTTTGGAACTTATATATACATATTCCGTTTCGCAAATGATTTTACAAATGTATATCTTATCTATGTATGATATTTCACATGTATTGGTGGGTTACCAGCATTATTCGCTGACCGGGAGTCGTTCCATCTTTTATGTGTTTCTTTCAGGTGATGTTTAGACGTAAGCGCGGTCTAGAGCCTGCTAGTGTAGCTCCCATCTTGTGTTGTTATGGCCTGTGTGCCAAGGATAGATTTTAGTACTTTGGACATGTATGGTTTTAGTTTATGAATTATGCAGATGTTAGCCTGTGCGTTCACCTCTGTGTGAGCGTGGCATAGCACCCCTTCCGTTTCCAGTTTATATAATCCTTTTTCAGTCTTCTGCTGTGTTGATGTTTTGTTTAGATATATGCATGTTTAAGGCTTTAATTAGCATGGAAATTAGGGGGTGTTACAGCTTCTACCCAAAAAGGCTTAGGTAGATTCTTAGATTTCAACATTCATCTCACCATATCCATGATAGATCTATTTTTCCTTTCAGCCACTCCATTTTGTTGTGCAGTGTATCTAGCTGTCATCTGGTGTTGTATACCCTTCTTCTTCAGAAAATCATCACAGGCAATATATTCTGTATCTCTATCAGTTCTCAAGATTTTAATTTCATAACCACTTTGCTTTTCAACAAAAGCCTTAAATCGTTTGAAAACATCACAGCTTCAGACTTTTGCTTCAGAAAGTAAACCCATGTTTTCCTACTGAAATCATCAATGAAAGTAATAAAGTACTTACAACCTCCATGTGAGGGAACCTCCAACGAACACATGTCCGAATGAATAATCTCCAACTGTTTTGTGGCTCTTCTTGACTTGCCCATAGGGAAGGGATCTCTATGCTTCTTCCCAATCACACAAATCTCACATATATGATCAGGGACATTCACAACAGGTAAATCAGAAACAAGTTCCTTTCTCGCAAGATAGTGTAATCTAGAGAAATGGAAATGCCCACATTGCATATGCCACAACCAATTTTCATCACAAACTTCAGAATTAAAGCAAGCAAGGAGAGTATGCTTAATTTTCAAAGGAAATAGTCGATTTTGGGACATATTTACCTTTGCAATCAAGACTCCCTTAGCATCTGCAATGGTACAACACCCCTGAGTAATATTTATCTTATATCCTTTTTCTGACAATTGTCCCATACTCAACAAATTTTGGTGTAGTTCAGGAACATAGAACACATCGGATATAAAATTGTGAGTACCATCCTTCAACTGAATAGAGATTTTACCTTTTCCCAAAATTGGCACTTTTGACTTATTGCCAAATGTCACTTCAGACCGGACAGTTTCATCCAGTTCAGAAAACAATTCTTTCTTCCCACACATATGGTTACTACACCCAGTATCCAAGAACCATATATTTTTATCTGCAGAAAAACTATCGCTGGCTAAAAGTAAAGTTTCAGAACTCTCACTAGACTTTTCAGTAGTGTTTTCAGCAATGTTTGCTTGATTTCCACGATTGTCCTCACTATACCAGCAATCTGCAATCTTGTGTCCATACTTGCCACAATTTTAGCAATGAAATGGAAATTTACCTTGTTTGGTATTACCTCCACCTCTTTCTTGGTTGGAGTTACCACGTCCTCCTCCTTGGTTGAAGTTACCACGACCTCTTCCACTAGAACCTCCTCCTTCCTCTTCCACGACCTCTTCCAGATCCTCCATCTCTTTGATTAGTGCCAGTCACATTAAGGGTGACTTAGCTCTTCAAAGCTTCTTCTGCTAGTGGTTCCGATTTTGACACAATCATATCAATATGACTTTCTACCATACCTTTCAGCTCTGCAATTGATAAGAGCTCAGTTTTGTGTGACACTGTGATTGAAGCCACCACATGGTCATACTTCATCGGCATAGTTCGTAGAACTTTTTAAACCACTGCACCATCTTCAATCGTATCTCCGTATAACCTCATCTTATTAACCATATCAATAAGACGAGTGAAATACGCGTCTACTGTTTCTGTAGAGGTCATCTCACAATTGTCGTACAACCTTATCAACGACTGAAACTTAGACTTCTGTGCCCGATCGACTCCTTTGTTTCACACCTTGAAGATGTCCCAAGCTTGCTTTGCTGTTTGAGCACGAGCTAATTGCCCAAAAATGGAGTAGTGAACACCTTGGTGAATCTGTCCCAATGCCAATTGATCTCGCCGTGTTTGGGCTGCATCAGCTCCTTTGGGTAGACTGAGATCAACAAAGCTCAATTGTAATCGAGTTTCCCGTCCAATTTGGGACCCGACCATACAATATTGAAATTTGCAGCCATATTTCACTACGAACAATATCTCGGGGTGTAAAGGTTGACTGGCTCTGATACCAAATGTAAGATATATATATATATATATATATATATATATATATATATATATATATATATATATATATATATATATATATATATATATATATATAGGGAAGGGATCAAGTGCATTTGTGGCTTCCCGTGCGGTTGTGCGGTGGATTAATGTGCGTGAGGTTTATACTTAATGTGCGTGAGTGTTGTGCTTAATGTGCCTGAGATTTGTACTTAATGTGCGTAATGTTAATATGCGTTAGTTTTGTACTTAATGTGCCTGAGTATTGTGCTTAATATGCGTGAGATTTGTGTTTAATGTGCGTGAGTAGTTCAGAATTACGAGCTCAGAAGGAAGCAGAACAGAAACCCACGCACATTAACACCCAAGCTTGTTGTTACTTCTTCCTTCAATTTGGCCATGGATTCTGGATTATCAGCTACCTTCAGTGCAGTTGAATGTTTATATATATGACGCACGCACAGCAAAATTTGCACACCAGCTAAGTGTGAATTTCTGTTGTATTAATCTCATAATTCTTAACCACCATAGCCCGCCTTCGCATCATCATCATCAGGGAGGGGGCAATGGCTACGGGGGATGGGGAAGAAGCTGACATCCATATTTTCTGCTGCATTTTACACATTCATGCACACTAAGTACAAAACTCACGCACACTAAGTACAAAACTCACGCACATTAAGCACAACACTCACGCACATTGAGTACAAATCTCACGCACATTAATCAACCGCACATCCGCACGAGAAGCTTTCAACCGCACGGGAACCTTTCACTATATATATATATATATATATATATATATATATATATAATATATCTATGTATTTATATATAATATATAAATAGGAAGAGAGAGAGGGGGATGAATAATGTTATTTGATGGGATGATTAACAAATGAACAAAAACCACATATTTATACTAGAGGAAAGCTAATAATTAGGAAACTAATGCTCCATGTACTACTGCTATAATCTAGGTCACTCTTCACATACAATGCATGACCCACACCCATTGCTTTCATTATTTCTAACAAATTAACTAATTACTAATTACTTGCTTGGTTTAATAATTATAATAATAATATTATTATAACAAAATCCATCAATCTTCACTGTTCTAAGCATCTTCATATCATGATTAATAAAGTAACGGTCTGGATCCTCCAAATGCTTCAAAGTATCTTCTTCAAATTGACTCCATGCCTACAACTCAACAAGAAACGAAAAACACCGTACAGTGAGATTGAGAACTCGAAAGAAACAAATAAATAACAAAGAATCATGATTGATAAAAATAAACTAACTCAACCGTATCTACCATTGATGCCCAATTCACATAGGTTGGGAGATTTTCGAGGCAATGTCATAGCAGTGACGATCTGCTCCTCACTAGTAAAACTCAAATCATGCAGCTCCATTACTTGCAGATTTATTGCAGTCAAAGAATTAAGCACGGCTGCGGCAACATCTCCACGCTAGAAAAAGAATAGAGAAAACAGTACAAGTTAGCCCAAGCTAAGCCGGATAAGTACTTTAGCATTATATTATTAAATCCTTAGCTTCCATCCATTTGTAGCAAGTAAAGCTAAGCGAGATAGATTATATTCTTACCCTCAAGAAACTGCCTCCAGACAAGCAAAGTGTCTTAAGTCTATGAAATTGAAGTGCAAACCATCTCGTTCAAACCAAGAATAAGCACTAATGTGAGACAAGCTTTCAAGTTTGGGAGCAATGATCTTAAATTTATCCATCCCCGGACAATCTCCAAGGAAAGCCAGATTCTCAAGATTAGGAATAGTAGAGGCAACTCTATTAACACTCCACTTAAACTCAACGCTATCGAAAACTAATGAAGTTACTTTGGGGAATATACAGCGAGCATTTGCTAGGAAATCTACAAGGAGACTATCGAGTTTGAGCCGCTTAAATATGGGGCACGACAATATACAAACTGGCAGCTTAAACGTGCTTCCAAGAACAAAGAATTGCAAGGTCAGTTCTTCAATACCATTTATTGATAGAAAATCACACCACCGCTCTATATCGGATAGCTGCGGCTTAGGCTCTAAGAAGATGTTTAAAACGAAATCCATAACCTTTTTTGTTTTTTGAAATTACACAAACACTTGATTAACTAGCAAGATCAATAGAGTTCATAACACAGAATAGAAGACAAAGGGCTTTGGAGCCACTCTACATGCATCATAAAAAATAATAACCAATTCCCAAGTTAAGACATGAGTAACTCAATTCGCATGCAGCCAATTAGATGTCATCTACAACATTATAAGTATGTAACCAACAAGGTTATACGTAAAGTTGTGCACCATGAAGAAAATTTGTGCATTAGGAGATGCACGAGGGTAGCACGTCAACTTCCTTTGGATATTCTTCCCCATTAAGGCATATGTTATACTGCATGCAGGGTGAATAACAATTCTCTCCAATGCAGGGCATTTAGAGAAGACCGACTTTACAAAAAGAACTTCAAGCCTAGATCGATTAAACTTGTGAATTTTCACTGTTCTAAGCATCTTCATATCCTGATTAATAAAATAACGGTTTGGATCCTCCAAATGGTTCAAAGTATCTTCTTCTAATTGTCTCCATGCCTACAACTCAACAAGAAATGAAAAACACGTACAATGAGATTGAAAACTCAAAAGAAACAAAGAAATAATAAAGAATCATGGTTGAAAAAAATAAATTAACTCAACCGTGCGTACCATTGCTGCCACAATACCCAATTCACATAGGTTGGGAGATTTTTGAAGCAACGACATTAACAGTACTCCACTTAAGCTTAACTTTATCGAAAACTAATGAAGTTACTCCGGGGAATATACAACAAGCATTCGTTGGGAAATCTACAACGAGACCATCGAGTCTCAGCCGCTTAATTGTGGGGCACGAGAATATACAAACTGGCAGCTTAAACGTACTTCCAACGACAAATAATTGCAAGGCGAGTTCTTCAATACCATTTCTTGATAGAAAACCACACCACTGCTCTATATCAGATTGCTGCAGCTTAGGCTCTAAGAAGATGTTTAAAGTAAATTTCTTGACGAGTCCACGACGGAGCAAGAGAATATTATTTATTATGTTCGCAGCACTTGTGGAGTTTTGAGCTATGTGATTTTGGATGCTTCGAAAGAAGTACCTATCAAACAAAAGCCGCCCATGCTGCAACCAAGCATTCTTCCAGAGGGTTGAGAGCATGGCCATCCTGGCCGCATTTTGGGTGGGCAAGCACTCCAAAATTCTTTCTTTTAGCTCTATTGGCAGTTCACTTATCAAATCCCTTCTTTCATCTTGTGTGTTTTTCATTCGATGACGAGTAGCCTTTAAATTCAATTGGGAGCTAATTGAGTAATGATGCATGTGGACGTTTATGAAGAATTAATCAGCAGCAAAAGATAAAGCTAAGAACAATGTTCACCATGTTTGTTGCAAGCAAAACTCTGCAATGAAGTTGAATTGGAAGCAAAAGGAAAGTGCCTGACTAATGTTCTGTTATAATCAATCCCAAAAGAAAGAAAGAGAAGAGGCTTTATAACTGCCATAACTAACTAAGCATAGGAAAAGACAAAACTGCCCTCTTGGCCTTTGAGACTAAACTCTTCCCTTGGCTCTTAGAAGAAGGTAATTAAAACTGATCACTTCATCACCCCCCCCCCCCCCCATAAGCTGGAGCATGAATGTCTTGAAGGCCCAGCTTATCATGGAATTTGACAAATAAAGGCTTTGATAGAGCCTTGGTGAATCCATCTGCCAATTGTTTGTGAGATGGGATTCCTAGCAGTTTGATCACTTCATCCTGCACTTTCTGTCTAACAACATGGAAATCTATCTCTATATGCTTAGTTCTCTCATGGAAAACATGATTTTCACCAATTGCAATAGCAGAAGTATTATCACAAAAGAGAGGAGTGGGGCTGTCAGTATTAACATGCAGATCTGCCAGCAGATACTTCAGTCATTGAATCTCACAAACTGTTGAGGCCATAGCTCTATATTCTGCCTCATAGGATGATCTAGAGATGGTAGCTTGCTTCTTGGTTTTCTAGGAGATAAGAAAGTCACCAAGATAGATGCAATAGCCTGTGATGGATTTCCTGGATTCAGAACAAGTAGCCCAATTTGAGTCTGAAAATCCCTGCAAACTGAGTTGAGAGTTAGATGCAAAATATAACCCCTTTCCAGGAGATCCTTTTAGGTACCTTAGGACCCTATGAGCAGCCATCAAATGTATGTCAGTTGGCTTGTCAACAAACTGACTCAACTGCTGAATGGCATAAGAAATATCAGGTCTGGTATTGGTAAGGTATAACAACTGTCCTACCAGCCTTCTAAATTTTTCAGGCTCATCAAGAAGAACTCCTTGTGTGCTTGTTAACTTCTGACCTGGAATGCATGGTGTGGCAACTGGTTTGGCATCCAGAAAGCCATTCTCTTTTAAAATCTCCAGAGTGTATTTTCTCTGGAAAATGTTTAGCCCTGCAGTGTTTCTGAATGCTTCAATCCCCAAGAAATAATTCAACTCTCCCAAATTTTTTATCTTGAAAGATGAATCCAGAAATTGTTTTAGTTCTTTAATCTCCATATCATCTGTTCCTGCCACAATGATATCATCCACATACACAAGGAGTGCAGTGAAAGACTGGAATGTAGACTTTGTGAATAGAGATGGATCAGCAGAAGATTGTGTGTAACCATTGTTTTGCAATGCCTTTGTCAGTTTTCCATTACATTGTCTACTTGCCTGTTTCAAACCATATAAGGACCTCAATAACTTACACACTTGGTTTGGACTGCCCTTCTTAAATCCTGGGGGAAGGACCATATAAACTTCTTCATCTAGATCCCCATGTAAAAAGGCATTGTTGATGTCAAGTTGTTGGATATTCCATCCCTTTGCAACTGCCACTGCTAGAAAGGTTTTAATAGTGGTCATCCTAGCCACATGAGAGAAAGTGTCTATATAATCCACTCCCAATTGTTGAGTATAGCCCTTTGCAACCAATCTAGCTTTGTATCTTTCTATTGATCCATCAGCTCTATGTTTCACCTTGTACACCCATTTACACCCAATTGGTTTTTTTCCATGGGGCAAGTCAGTCAAAATTCAAGTATTATTCTGCATTAAAGCTTTTATCTTAGTCTGCATTGCTTCCTTCCAGTGCTCAGATTGAATTGCCTCATTGTAAGACTGAGGTTCATGTGTGGAAGTGATTGATGCCACACAAGCTTTGTGTCTAGGGGATAACTGGTCACATGAAATAAACTTGTTTATAGGATGTGGAGAAGTCCTTATGCCTGAGTTGATTCCCATCATCAATTGGCAGTAATAATCATTCAGTTTAGAAGGCATAACTCTCTGCCTTGATGATCTTCTGGGCTGCATCTGATCGTCATTGTTTTGTGGAAGATCAGTATTGAGATCAATGCTAATGGTTTCACCATTCACCTCATTATTATCAACAGGTGACATGTTTTCTATGTCAGGTGATGCTTCATCACTGTGCTCAATGTGAGAGCTGTGGATAATCTCATCCTCTGTGCTGCTATTGAGATTATCATGAGACTAGTGTCAGGATAATAAATAGGCCTCCCCAACATCTGTTCTTCAAGTGGCATAGGAATTATAGGTAAACAAGGATGAAGACCACTGTCTTGATCATTTGCCTTGTTCAGATCTTGCTTCTTGAAAGGGAAAATGTGTTCATAAAACTTAACATCTCTTGAAATGAAAACTGTCTCATCATTGAGGTCATAGACAATATATCCCTTTATATTTGAAGGAAACCCCAAGAACACACTTTTTCTTGCCCTTGCCTGCATCCTATTCCTGCCTTGTGAGATAGTTCCACCAAAACACAAGCACCCAAAAGATCTAAACTGATCATACTTCACAGATTCTTTAGTAAGAAATTCAAAAGGAACTTTCCCACCAATCACATCAGATGGCAGCCTATCTATGATATAAGCTGCATGCAGGACACAATGTCCCCAAAAATTGATAGGCAAACCACTTTGAAATCTTATGGCCCTTGCTATGTTTAAAAGATGTTGATTCTTTCTTTCTTCTATTCCATTTTGCTGTGGTGTGTAGACACAAGTCTTTTGATGCACAATCCCTTTCTCATCTAGGAAGCCTTGCATTAGGAACTCATTCCCATTATCTGTTCTTATGGTTTTAATCCTTTCTGAAAAGTGAGTCTCCACATAATTATAGAAACTTTGAAATGTAGATTTAACATCAGACTTATTTCTCAACAGATGTAACCATGTGAATCTACTATAGTCATCAACTATAGTTAGGAAGTAGTGTTCTCCCTTCAAAGAAGCTACACTGAAAGGGCCCCAAACATCCATATGTATCAAGTCAAAGCATTTATGGGCTCTAGAAGTACTGATTGGGAAAACAGATCTTCTATGCTTAGCTAGATGACATGCATCACAAACAAAATCTGAACATTTTGGGTGAGAAACAGACTTTATTCCATTCAAATAAAGTATCTTATTCATAGGATAATGTCCTAATCTGTTATGCTAAATTTCTAATGTCAAAGCATTACATTGATTTTCAACTGTTCTATCAACAACCTGACCCTTATTCTTGACAGGAGGTTCACTGATCAAGTATAGACCATTCTCTTCTTTAGCAAAACCATCCATTCTGCCAATTGGTCCCCGAATAGTGCATGAACCAGCTTCCAAAATAAGCATACAGTTTGAATGCTTAGTTAACTTGCTAGCAGAAATGATATTAAAAGCAAAGGATGGAATATATAACACATTCTGCAGTACTATATCTTTGCACAACCTGACTTGTCCTATATGAGTAACAACCACAGTCTCACCATTAGGCAACTTAACTGCCACTCCTTGAACCTTATGACAAACTTCAAAGAATTCTGAAAAACAGACAATATGGTCTGTAGCTCCTGAATCCAAAATCCAAGTGTTTCCTGAACTTAGCAAAGTATTAATGAAGAGGCTGGAGGTGATTATACCTTCATCATGATTTTCCATAGGGTTTCTGAGATCAGCTTTAGTTCCAGGTGAACTGAGAGTCACAGCAGCATTGCTAGCAGCTTGATTTCCTTTATTCTGATTCTGCAACAAGGAAAGCAATTTTTGAAATTGATAAACAGATAATCCTACATCACTTATCTGGCTCATTGAGGCATTAGAGGACTGCTACAACTCTTGAGTGTGCTTGTTCTTAGTCTTATAGCCTGGGATCCAACCTGTTGGATATCCATGCTTCTTATAGCATTTTTCTATGGTGTGACCTGTCATCCCACAGTATGTACATTTTGGTACATTTTTCCCGCCAATATTGGAGAACTTCTTCCTGTTATTGAAAGTTGAGGCTGCCACAGTGGCATGTTCTTCTGCATTTTCACTGGTCTGCACAGCATTAACTTGAGCAAAGTCATTGCTCTTTTGGTTGATTGATCCTTTGATATTCCTTTCAACCTTCAATGTCATGTTGAGCACCTTTTCTATGTCAGGGATGGGATCCATCATTAAGACTCCAGTCTTAATGGATTCAAAATCTTCATTCAAGCCATCTAAGAATCGAATGATCTGATCTTCTTCCCTCTGCTTCTGCATTCTACTCATCAGTGTACATGAACATCTAGGTTTACATTCACAAAGCAATAATGGTCTCAAAGCATTCATCTACTGCCATAGAGCATTGCTCTTGGTGAAATACTCATTTACTGTTAGACTTCCTTGCATATTTCTAAAGATCTCATTCTGTATTTCAGATATTCTATGAGGATCGGATTGAGAGTACCTCTTTCGAAGAGCATTCCAGATCTCAGAAGCATCATCAAAGTACATCACGCTGTCCGCGATGCTAGGGCTTATGGACTTCAAAATCCAAGAGCACACGATCCTGTTACACCTTCTCCATGATGCAAGCTTCGGATCATTCGCTTCTGGCATTGGAATGGTTCCTTCTGCAAAGCCAAACTTGCTTTTGACTTCTAAGGCAATCCTCATGGATCTGCTCCATGAGGCATAGTTCAATTCTGTCAAGGGGAGAGACACCAAGCTGAGATTAGGATTCTCAGACACATGAAGGAATAACGGATCATCGAACTCCTCAGCTCTCTGATTCTGACTCATCAGAGTTTGGCTTGAAGATCCTTCAGTTCGATTATGATTTCCACTACCGGTTTCCATTACGGCTGTTGTGTAACTCCGGTAGCGTGGCTCTGATACCATGAAGAATTAATCAGCAGCAAAAGATCAAGCTAAGAACAATGTTCACCACGTTTGTTGGAAGCAAAACTCTGCAATGAAGTTGAATTGGAAGCAAAAGGAAAGTGCCTGACTAATGTTCTGTTACAATCAATCCCAAAAGAAAGAAAGAGAAGAGGCTTTATAACTGCCATAACTAACTAAGCATAGGAAAAGACAAAACTGCCCTCTTGGCCTTTGAGACTAAACTCTGCCCTTGGCTCTTAGAAGAAGGTAATTAAAATTGATCACTTCATCAGTTTAATATAATTTGTTCGCTACTTCAATTCTTTTGGGGTCGTTCAAAATCATATCAAAAATAGTTTAAACCATTCCATTCTTCAACTTGCACGAAATTAAAAGGAAATTGGTATGAAGAAAGATATCAGAACTCAAATCATATTCAAATATATTATATAACCTCAATGTTTTCTGATCTCTTTAAATTTTTTAGAACTTTTTTTCTCTCTTTTTTTTTTTTTTTTTTTTTTTTTTTGTATAAATAAAATTTCTATATAAAAAATGAATGTATCATTAAAAATAAATGACACACATATTGATTTTTTTTTTCTTTTTTTGATACTATTGACTCTATTACCATACAAGGTAGTATATATTTTACACTATTGATTTTATTTTTTATTTTTTATTTTTAAATGAGCTTGAAGTCCATTAAGTTAATTACTACTAGACATTTAATTCTCTAGATCTATAAACTTACTATTATAGGTTTGTCACACAACTAGTGTGTGTATAAAAGTCAAACAACTAGTGCCCGCACGGGTGTTTGTATGTGTTTATTAAATCGTTTATCAAATCACTACTCCATGTCTATTAAGTCAATAAAATAGATCCATAACATAATTATTGAAAAGATATATTATAAAAATATATCAATATAAGTGTCATTTAAAATATTTAAATACGATATTTTTTAATGATATTTTTCATACATATATTGATTTTATTATACAAAAATAAATAAAGAATAATGTGTTATTGAAATGTTTGGAGGATCTTCTTTGCATTGCTCAAGCCTACAATTCAAATTCCTTTTAATTCTTTGAACTTTAATTTGAAATTTCTCTCATAAATAAGGTTAAGGCTTAAATTACTTTTAACTAGAGTTGTCAATGTGGGCTAAAGACAGGTGAAGAAAAATCTGAACCCGTCTTTCCCACTGATAATTTAAAAAAAAAAAAAAGAAAAATGAAAAAATAAAAATTAGAGCAAAGCAAGCCACACCAACCCAAATATAATGCGAAATAAATATAATCAACAACATAAATATATAATACACTTATTTATGCCAAAACTGAATTTACCACAAGAAATTGGAAATAAATAAATATATAAAGGTTAATAACAAACACCAACAAAGTAAGAGAATATCTTACTTTAGGCATAAGGTGTCACTGCTCATCAAGGCTTAATCTACGTGAAAGGTAGCGTTAACAAAGTTGTTTCGGTGCTGTTGTTGGTTGTTTGTGAGGGAGAGGGAATTGGCAAGGAAGAAATGGGTTGACGGCAAGAGGCGAAGTGAGGTTATGGAACTGAGATTTAGGGTTTGTATTATTACTATTTATCGCATATGGAATTAGGGCCGGTGAATCAGAGAATTTAAAGAATTTTTTTAAAATAATAATAGCAGGCTAACTCGCCCAGCCCCTTAGTAGGGCTAGCCCATGTAGCTTACTTTTTGCGGAGGGTCTTGTAATTCCTAATCCACACCCTGCCGTATTACGCAGCAGGGTAGGCCGGCCTAATAGGTTAGGCTTATTTTAATAGCATTTCATTTTTTTTTTGAAAGGTCAACCCATGGGTTGTATTTATAGATAAGCTGAAATAGCGTCGGGTGGGATATCATGCCAATACATAGCTGTATCAAAATGGAAAGCCGAAGCTGCTAAACTATGTGCTAAATAATTCTGCGATCTAGAAATAAATTGAACATGACAAAAAGTTAAATTATTAATATGGTTCCTGCATCCATCAAGGGCATAACCAATATACGATATTGCCAAATGATATGGTGGTGTCAAATATTTATGTAGTGTCTGGCAATCCGTAAAGACCTCAACCGATTGTACTCCACGGTCACGTAGCCAAGACAGGGCCTCCTTGCATGCATATGCTTCTGCCATTAGTGGGGAATAACAATATGGCAGTGGTGCTGCAAATGCTGCGACAAAATGACCGTCCTCTCCCATAAGTACCGCACCTATCGAAGCTGAATTGGTACCATCGTGATATGCTGCGTCTATGTAACATTTGCTGTGTGGATTTTGGTGTCCTTGCGACTGATTTGGCAGGTGCCGCACGGCAGTATTGGATGCAGCGTCGTGATTGGTAGCTTGAGGCTCTGTTGCCACGACAGTTGGAGTATTTAAATGGATTTGGCGCCATGCATTGACAGCAGCTTGGATCGTAACCAGCATTCTCCTCGGGTGAGTGACACAAACGTCCCATACCGCTCCGTTCCGGGCTCTCCATAGATAGTATAATATTGCAGCTGCGTAGAGAATTCCATCAGAGTCTAAAATATTCAACAATTCTCCAAACCATTCATAAAAAATATTTGTTATAATATTTGGTAATGGTAGGTTTGATTGTGTCCAAATGGCTCTAGCATAATCACACAAAACCAATGCATGCATAATATCCTTATTCTCCACCCCACACACGGCACACAATGGACTAACATCCACCCTTTTAATACGCAAGTTTATGGTAGTGGGGAGAATGTCACTTATGGCTCTCCATAAAAAAGTCCTCCACTTGGGTGGTATTTTCTGCTTCCACAAAGTGAGCCATTTATTAAATCCCATGTTCATACTATTTTCATAACTTCCAACAATACGCCTGTACCCATTCTTAACTGAGTAGCAACCATTGGGGTCCCCATGCCAATACCATAGGTCCTCATATTCCTGAGACACAGGTATTTTCAAAATTCTTGTCACATCATCAGGCTCAAAAATATCAGTAAGTAAATGATAATTCCATGTTCCTGTCCTGTGGTCAATTAAGTTAATTACTTTAGCATCCGCCAGCTGGGGTGGCATTTCTGTTTGGATCATGGGATCCTCCTTATCTTGTAACCAAGGATGCTTCCACACAGAGGTCGAATTTCCATTCCCAATTCTTCTTCTCACACCACTACAGACAAGACTTTTTGCCGCCATAATACTCCGCCAACAATGACTGGGAT